TGATCAGTCTATAATTTTAATGGTAGGTTTATTTGAACGGTGAGAGACAGAATAACAACAACAAAATCCAGAAAAACGCATGTCAAAAATTGTATAAATTGATTTGCATTTTAATGAGGGAAATAAGTATTTGACCCCCTCTCAATCAGAAAGATTTCTGCCTCCCAATGTGCTCCTAATCTCAGCTCGTTACCTGTATAAAAGACACCTGTCCACAGAAGCAATCAATCAATCAGATTCCAAACTCTCCACCATGGCCAAGACCAAAGAGCTCTCCAAGGATGTCAGGGACAAGATTGCAGACCTACACAAGGCTGGAATGGGCTACAAGACCATTGCCAAGCAGCTTGGTGAGAAGGTGACAACAGTTGGTGCGATTATTCGCAAATGGAAGAAACACAAAAGAACTGTCAATCTCCCACGGCCTGGGGTTCCATGCAAGATCTCATCTCGTGGAGTTGCAATGATCATGAGAACGGTGAGGAATCAACCCAGAACTACACGGGAGGATCTTGTCAATGATCTCAATGCAGCTGGGACCATAGTCACCAAGAAACAATTGGTAACACACTACGCCATGAAGGATTGAAATCCTGCAGTGCCCGCAAGGTCCCCCTGCTCAAGAAAGCACATATACAGTGAGGGAAAAAAAGTATTTGATCCCCTGCTGATTTTGTACGTTTGCCCACTGACAAAGAAATGTTTAGTCTATAATTTTAATGGTAGGTTTATTTGAACAGTGAGACAGAATAACAACAAAAAAATCCAGAAAAACGTATGTCAAAAATGTTATGAATTGATTTGCATTAAATGAGGGAAATAAGTATTTCACCCCTCTGCAAAAATGGTACTTGATGGCAAAACCCTTGTTAGCAATCACAGAGGTCAGACGTTTCTTGTAGTTGGCCACTAGGTTTGCACACATCTCAGGAGGGATTTTGTCCCACTCCTCTTTGCAGATCTTCTCCAAGTTATTAAGGTTTCGAGGTTGACGTTTGGAAACTCGAACCGTCAGCTCCCTCCACAGATTTTCTATGGGATTAAGGTCTGGAGACTGGCTAGGCCACTCCAGAACCTTAATGTGCTTCTTCTTGAGCCACTCCTTTGTTGCCTTGGCCGTGTGTTTTGGGTCATTGTCATGCTGGAATACCCATCCACGACCCATTTTCAATGCCCTGGCTGAGGGAAGGAGGTTCTCACCCAAGATTTGAAGTTACATGGCCCCGTTCATCGTCCCTTTGATGCAGTGAAGTTGTCCTGTCCCCTTAGCAGAAAAAACAGCCACAAAGCATAGTTTCCACCTCCTTGTTTGACGGTGGGGATGGTGTTCTTGGGGTCATAGTTGATGCCAAAGAGCTCCATTTTGGTCTCATCTGACCACAACACTTTCACCCAGTTGTCCTCTGAATCATTCAGATGTTCATTGGCAAACTTCAGACGGGCATGTATATGTGCTTTCTTGAGCAGGGGGACCTTACGGGCGCTGCAGGATTTGATTCCTTCACGGCGTAGTGTGTTACCAATTGTTTTCTTGGTGACTATGGTTCCAGCTGCCTTGAGATCATTGACAAGATCCTCGCGTGTAGTTCTGGGCTGATTCCTCACTGTTCTCATGATCATTGCAACTCCACGAGGTGAGATCTTGCATGGAGCCCCAGGCCGAGGGAGAGTGACAGTTCTTTTGTGTTTCTTCCATTTGCGAATAATCGCACCAACTGTTGTCACCTTCTCACCAAGCTGCTTGGCAATGGTCTTGTAGCACATTCCAGCCTTGTGTAGGTCTACAATCTTGTCCCTGACATCCTTGGAGAGCTCTTTGGTCTTGGCCATGGTGGAGAGTTTGGAATCTGATTGATTGATTGCTTCTGTGGACAGGTGTCTTTTATACAGGTAACGAGCTGAGATTAGGAACACACTCTTAAAGAGAGTGCTCCTAAAGAGAGTGCTCCTAATCTCAGCTTGTTACCTGTATAAAAGACACCTGGGAGCCAGAAATCTTTCTGATTGAGAGGGGTCAAATACTTATTTCCCTCATTAAAATGCAAATTAATTTATAACTTTTTTGACATACGTTTTTCTGGATTTTTTTTATTATTCTGTCTCTCACTGTTCAAATAAACCTACCATTAAAATTATAGACTGATCAATTCTTTGTCAGTGGGCAAACGTACAAAATCAGCAGGGGATAAAATAATTTTTTCCCTCACTGTACATGTCAAGTCTCAAGGACTGTTACCCTTGAGACTCGCAGTTTTTTTTTAACTCACAATTCAGTGTCTCACGGCCGTGCAATGAATGTTCGCGTGTTGTTGTTGTTGTTTACCTGAGAATAACCCACTCCAGCCTTGCCTTCTGCAGCGCACTGCCAGCTGCTGCCCGTGGCTGGTCAAGTCCTACATGAAGGGCAGCTCAGCAAGTGAAACTAATCACAAATACCCAAGGCTATTACAAAACCATTGCTTCATTTACTACGGGGGTGTTACATCAGGCAGTTTAGTACATTAGCCTATTGCTGCTATGCAAATATATTTTGCAAGCCCCCCTCCCGCCTCTCTTCTCTGAAAGTATATGCCCTTGTTACGTAACAGCTTATCACCTAAACGATAAAACAAAAGATTTGTTTTTATAATTATAAAAAGTTACATTTCTGTGCCTCAGATTATTGGGGGTTCCCTCAGTTTATTGGGGGGGGGGGAGGAGGAGGGGTCCCCAAGGGTTTTCAATGGGGGGTGGGGGTGGTGGAGAGGCGCTCGCTGATTTGAACTTTGTGTGGTCGCCACGTATGAACCACTCTCATCAGTTTCATTCACGCCGTCGTCGACTCAGGCGCGACCTCGCGACAGATCTCTCTCAGTCGAGCAATGCTCTACGTTCGCAAGGCGTTCATCGATTTTGGGCGGGCGTCGCCGTCGTATGCGTGGGGGTTGTAAACTGCAGAGGATTGCGTAGAGGTCAAAGTTGACAGTTACTGAGTAGCGAGTTATGTGTGCGATGTGCCCCCCTCACCCCCAACCCACCACCCCTCCCCCCTCTCTCTCCCCACGAGCTGTGATGAAGGCCCCCCTGTTGCTTCGGTCGTCAACATCACGGATGTAATTTGCGTAAGCGTGGGGAGGGCCTTCGTCCAACAGTGGATTGACCACGGCTGTTGGTGAGGCAATTGTTATTGCTGCTGGGACCCGGCGTGGTAAAGGGGCGCCACGCTGGCTAGGGGATGTTAACTACCTCGCCTGGTATACAGGAGGTTGTGGGTTCGATCCCGACCCTGACGCCTGCTGTATATTTGGAGTTTGCGGGCCGCTCTCTCTCATCATCATCACGGTGGCCAGGAGATGTAAACTACCTCGCCTGGTATACAGGAGGTCGTGGGTTCGATCCCGACCCTGACGCCTGCTGTATATTTAGAGTTTGCGTCTCTCTCTCTCCCCGTGTCGCGTTGATTTTTCTCTGGGTCCTCCGGTTTTTCCCTCCACATTCAGAAACGTGCGTTCAGAGTATTTGGCTGCTATAAATTTCCACGCGATAAGCCACTTCGTTGAGCTGCCATTTGTGGCCAGGTCGCTTCTGAAAAAAAGATCTACATAGCTCACTAGGCCTCCTTTCCTGGTCAAATGAAAAATAGTTTAGTTTTGAGTATGGTCAAACAACGCAATGGCTGACAGGGTTGGGGAGGAAGTGGTTTGACACGAGGCTGTAAAGTATATTATGGTCTTGCTGTGTGTGCGGTGACAACACTTCCGAGTCTTTTGAGAACGCTCAGAATTCGCTGCTCGTTGCAAAGATGAGCTTGGGAAAGGTCGCGTTTGACCAGTGGCGTTAGTATTTATTGTCTGTGTTTGCCCTCTCAGTAAAGTTGGGCCAAATAAAATTTACGGTAGTGCTATAAATAAGCACACTATAAGTAACACAAACAAAAATCAGTGCAACAGATGTACGTTCAAAAATATTAGAAAGTCTTCTCATTGTGCCACTACATGCTGGCCACTCACAAATTGAGCGGTTCTGAAAACACAGATTCCTGTGTAGCCTACACAGACTGGATTGGAAAGTGCTGTGAGCGACCTATCCTGGCCATGCCACCTCCTCGTGTGCCATGTCAGCCTTTGTGAAGTGCTCTGAAGCACACTATACCGACACCAGCTGCCATTCGCCACAAAGTTACGGCCACGTCGCCAATCCATTTGTGCCAGTCTAGGTGTAACTTAAGGCCACGTGCGCTGTGGAAGGCTCGCCAACAGGAGGTCATGTATTATGAGCAGACTAACTAAGCTGACTGGAAGGTGCACCAACTGTGCTCTGCACTTGCTGCGTTTTAGTCGCCCGGCGTTCTGCTCATTGTTGTGCGGGTCTCTCTTCTGCCCTCACGTCGTTGTTGGAAGGCGGCTGCCCCCACCTGCCCAGTATCGTCCTTCAAGAGCCTCCTCAACAGAAGCCGACCTTGACACCGCTGTTGCTAAGTCATCTACAAGTCCGATCAGCTCCACATCTTCCCGTACCACATCAGTCCAGCTGCTCTCGACACCTTACCGCGCCCCCTTATTAAGCTTCCTCTATCCAGCGAAACAGAAGCTGGTGGCGTGCATCTGGAACACGCAACAAAGATTCCCCGTGTAGCCTTAACACACTGTTGGGGCAAGTGTTGCTAGCGAGCACCGATGAAGGCTGGTACGGCACACAAGGGGGTTGGTGGCCAGCACCACGCCCGACCGCCTTTGTCTCCCCAGTGACGATGTTTACACACCGCACCAGCTACTCATTTGAGGCCGAGTCGACCAAGGGGAGGCCCAGGACCGGTTCAGATAATCGTCACCGGTTGGCGCTAACCGCTACACCACCGCTCGCCTGAACAAACACACAGTTCCCCCGTGTAGCCTGATCAGACTGTTGGGGCAAGCGCTGTTAGCGAGCGCAGATGAAGGCCGGCACGGCGCACGCAGACAAACAACCACTCTCACATGCTCTGGCCGACCACACAGGCCGTCACTCAGCGAGCGTCATACCAGGGCATGAAGGGGACGGCTCTCTGGCAGAATGGACACTTCGATCTCCTCCCGCCGGGGCACCGGCCTGAGCCACCACCTGGGCCACCAGCGTTGCGTGGGGGCTCCCTCCTGGCGCTCGTTGTTGTCGTCTTGGTGGTGGTGTTGTTGGTCTTGTTGTTGTTGTTGTTGGTCCCAGCGTGGCAGGAAGGACGCCCGGGTGCAATGGCCCTGTGGCGTGCCGGGCCGCTGGTTCTGCTGCGTCCCGCACACGGACTCCATGTCGCCCCCCTGCCAGCCGATGTACACCGAGCTCGCGTCTTCCACTCGCATTTTCCTCGATGACCCTAGCCTGGCACCGCCGCCATCCGGGCTGCAGTCGGCCCCTCCCTGCCGAGCGAAGCGTCCGCGCCCGCACGGTCTGGATGGAAGTGTCGGGAGACTGCAGCAAAGTTTGGCCATAGGTCAAGAATTCGGTGACAGCTTAAAGCCAAGTTCTATCTCTGCTACAAAGCCTCAACCCTTCTTCACCCTTTTACCGACCGCGATCAAGTCTGCGGGTTCACGCAACGACGAAAGTTTTGTCAACAAATACTGTAGCGTAGTTGGCTTCGGTCGGAGGCGAGGGGAGGGGGATTAACGCTGGGTTAATATTTCTCCCGTTCTCGTGAAGACCGCCCCAGATTGTGTTTTCCCTCGCCCACCTTCTCCTTCGATGCGTTTTCTTCCCCCACAAAATTCCAAGGCCGCCGCGCGTCTGCGAAGACTGCGGCGGTCACCCCCAGACAAATGCCGCACCGGTCCACCCCGCACCGGTCCACCCCGGTCCGGTCCACCCCGCACCGGTCCACCCCGGTCCGGTCCACCCCGCACCGGTCCACCCCGCTCCGGTCCACCCCGGTCCGGTCCACCCCGCTCCGGTCCACCCCGCTCCGGTCCACCCCGCACCGGTCCACCCCGGTCCGGTCCACCCCGCTCCGGTCCACCCCGCACCGGTCCACCCCGGTCCGGTCCACCCCGCTCCGGTCCACCCCGCACCGGTCCACCCCGCACCGGTCCACCCCGCTCCGGTCCACCCCGGTCCGGTCCACCCCGGTCCGGTCCACCCCGCTCCGGTCCACCCCACTCCGGTCCACCCCGCACCGGTCCACCCCGGTCCGGTCCACCCCGCACCGGTCCACCCCACTCCGGTCCACCCCGCTCCGGTCCACCCCGCACCGGTCCACCCCGCTTTGAATCGGCCAAACTCAGAGGGGGGGGGGGGTCCTTATGTCGAGTCAAAAAGTTTAATCCGCAAGCCGTACAGTTCGCGCTCTCTCTTCCCTCTCTACGGGTGACATGCGCGTCGAGGAAGGGGGCGTCAGACCAGTCGGGCGGGGTGGGTGGCGACGGCGTGGGATTATGTTTATTTGCCATCCTTGCCACGACGTGGCACTCCGACGGGGCTCGTGAGATTGCTGTTCATACGCAGGGCTGTGTGCTGCGAATCCGAGGGGAAGGGGAAACAGATGTCTGATCACAACCGAGTGCTTGTCGTGGCTAATGGCCCTTTGCGCAACAAATTTGAACGTGGCGGGCGGGCGGGGGACATAACAGATGAAGGCTTTTCTTTTTTTATTTCAAGCGGACTTTGCATGCTATGTGTGGCTGCTGAGCAACGGCATGCCGTACACGGTTAATAAGTACATCATAAGCAAAATGCGATTGCTTGCTTTCGCGAAAGCGAAGAGTTCGTCTCGCTTGCGTTTGATTAGAATGTTCGGCATCGAAGCATGGATACATTCCTGCTGCGATTGTGTTGTTGTTTCTGCACCGAACCGGCGTGCAACACGTGGCGTGTTGCAACGTGCTCACACGCAGCCTCTCGAGACATCCGGACCGCGCGGCGCTTGCGTCCGCCTAATTTGGGCGCTGCCAAGTGCCAAAGGCAGTGCGAACGTGAATATTTGAGTCGTTCCTTGCTCCACCAGCTTCCATCTCGCTTCGTAGTTCCGGCGCTCGCAGTTTTCGTAGCCTGGCGTTCTCTCCCCACTCCACAATTCCTTCTCCTCCTTCCACCCTTGTTTTTTTGTTGTGTTGCGTGGTCCGAAGGCAGTTAGTTACATCCACATAACCGGCGTCAAACAAACAAAATTGCTCAATTATCATCGTTGAGTTGGACCAATTCCGAACAAAATGAGGGTTGTTTTGTCGTGCGGGTAGCCAGGCGCGATCATTAATTTACAAGCGAGCGAGCGAGCCAGCAGGCTGCGGAATTCACAGGCCCTGAGTCCGTTGCCAGGATACCCTGCTGGCTGATGCCTCGTGTCCACGAACACTGGGACATTGCAGTCCAATGATAACGTTACCTCCAAGCTAATGCAATGAATGAGATGGAATGGACAAGAAAAGAGCAAACAGGATGCGCATTGCAAACGAAATGGCACAAGTGATGCAAACGGCATCGAAAGCAACATCACTTTTTTAACGATGACCTCCCCCCCCGCCCCAGATTGTGGAAATTCATCGATTTGTTTGAGGGGTGCGTTGTTGCAAATGTAGGTATTAGCGCGTACTTCGTTATCTACAACTAAATCTAGGGAAAAAAATATATATTTTGCTCTGGATTCCTAATTCTCCTTGTCACTCCTATCCGTAATCATAACTTTGTTTTCCAGGAAAGCCACACCGTGTCTCAAGACCCTTTCAAAAGCGTCTTGTTACGTGGTCCTGTTTCCCATACAGCCAGGACATTGTACGTTGTTTAGCTATGGGAGGGACCGGAGATCCCTGAAGGAAACCACATGCAGAACAGGGCGAGAGAGAACGCTCAAACCCCACGCAGAAGGGTGCCCGTGTCAGGAATCGAACCGGTGACCTTCTTTATGTGAGGCCATCCTGTGAAAAAAAAAAACGTTGGCAAAATTACTCGAGTCGCAGAGTAAACAAGACTGTGGTTAAAACAGTTTGGTTTGAAAAACGACCAATGCTTGTCCAAGTTTGTGACAAAGTCGTGTGTCAGATATATATCTGACATCTGCTGGGCTGTGGCACTGCCATAATTTTCATATGATGCAAGCGTGACCTTTGTTCATGTGAAAATTAAGCTGGCTTGGCTGCTGTTATAAACAAACGTATTACTTATGAAGCAGTAAAAAATGTAATAATTTATGTTGCGAACAGTAATTCAGTAGTTCGGTCCGGTTGTCTCTGTTTAGTGTGTGTGTATGAAGCAGCCCAAGAGGGAAGTGTTGGGAAAAGAAAACGCTGCACGCGTGTGTTTTTTTTACCCGTAGTTTTGTGTAACGATGATTTCCATTATGTTGGTCACGCTAGGAAATGCCGGGCGACGCAGAGGTCAGACAGATGCGCTCGCACATCCCACTTTGCCGCTGCACCACGAGCACTTTGCATGAGGATGGACCGTGGCCCCGGAGCTTTTCATCAAACCCCAAGATGCGGACGGACAAAGCAGTGGGAAGGAGAAAATGTGTCGCCCTGGGGGGGAAAAATAAAAGCCACTCCAACGCTGCACTGCTATTAAACCACAAATGTCCCAAGCGACGATAGCGACGACGGAGTTACTGTGCTTATTTATGCCAGCGGTGTCGCTAGCTGGAGCGGTGACTCGGCCGATGGGTTAGCGCGTCGGCCGCTCGTTGCGGCAAGGGTCCGCGGTTCGAGCCCAGCGGCTGCCCTGATGAATGCTGCGCTTGCAAGCAGCCATGCGTGGGCGAACGTTCAAGATCCCCTGGCGTCACGAGGAAGAGAACGGGGCCATGTGCCCCGGCGTTATGCTCCACCGTTGCGAAATTTAACAGAAATTCCATGAGAATTACCCAACTGGGTAAAACCACACGGCGACTTCGCCCCCTACGGGCGGACTATCCTTTGTCCGCGAAACATAGCTGCAACAATAGCCTTGCGCTGTAATAATTGAGCGAATACCCCCATTGTTATCATATTATTATTGAGTGCGCAGGCGTTGCAAATGCACCGGGCCCCATGGACCAGAGTGGCTGCGTGCTCCGTTGCTGGGCCAGGTTTGAGGTTTGAGTTCACGACAACTGTGCAGCTCAGTGTGTGTGATGGCGCTGTTGGTGTGTGCACTGCGCCACGATCCCCGGCTACCTGAGTTTAATCCCCGATCATGACCATCAACACCAGTCCTGCGCCTCCCCTAGGTCCAAAGGATCCTCATATGATGCGATGTGTAAACATCACTAGGGAGACAAAGGTGGCCGGACGTGGTGCTGACCACCTACCCCGTCATACGTGTGCCATGCTGGCCTTCGTGGGTGCGCACTAAAAATATTGTTCCAACTGTTTAGTTTGTTGTCCTTCCCCCGCACCTCCGATGACCATGGTTGGCTACGTACGGTGCTAAAGAAGTTCAGCATACACACACACACGTACAACCGGTCAGGCACAGTGCCTGAAAACTTTAAAACACGCGACCACTGCACGTAAATTCCTAGTTCACATATGGCTCCACAGTGGCGCCCCGCAAGCAAGACAAACACCCGTGGACACGCTTTAGAACCAGCAGCCGAGTGTGTTGCTGGGTCTTTTCCTTCGTTTAAAAGTAGGTCGACATCGACCGCTTTTTTTTTTTGTGCCCGTGCGTTTTCTCTAAATGAGCGCAGTTTGCTAATGCTGGTGCGAGCTCGTTGAGCCAATAGCCATTACATCGGGGCCATTGGCGGGGCCCTAACGCGCCTCCCCGCGATATTTCTACATGCGCCTAAGTCCTCGATAAGCCTTGCCAATCAACCGTAACGCTAGCATCATCACTTCGACGTCCGTGGTAATAATTAGGTGCCTTAGCGGAAAAGAAACTACCTACGGTGGCAGTGTTGAGATAATACCGCGTAATTCAAGTGTTTGAGCGATTGGGCTAAGTGGGTCCTGTGCTGTGTTAGGGTTGTATCGGACGTAGCCTGCACTCTACATGGTTTGTTTGGGGAATAGCAAATATCCAAGGCATTGTGTTTATATTTTCATCTGTACCGATGATGATAGTGGCAGTGTAATACGGCGGAATGTGTGTATTTGTTGATTTGTTGAGGATTTTATTTGTTTACATAACTAAGTAATGTTTTCTTCCACAAGAGCAATTTAATGCTGGATGAGGGCCCGCTTATGCTGCGTAGGCTGTGGGAATTGTTTCACCATACTTCACCACACCGTTACTTCCGTTCATATTACTCCGCAATACGACTCATTATGACGAGCCAAGATAACATCACGCACAAAGTGCTCATTCGCGTCGTCGTGTGGAGAATAACAAGCAGCAAATGCTTCACATATCCGTCTCTCCACGTTAAAAAGTAAAGTACTATTTACATATACAAGCAAACGACTGTGGATCGGGTTTGACACTCAGTGTCTGTGTCTCATCAGCATCAACGCTGCTGAACTCCCAGATGCTTTTGGCATATTGGTTGCTCGTTTAGGTGTGGACCCCCCCACCCCTTTAAACATTTTAAAGTGGGGGGCTCAGACTCTGAGACTCTAGTAGGATGTAGGGGGGCGGATGTGGAGGTGGTTGAATGTGGGGGGGGGGGTGAATGTGGGGGGGGGGGGGGGGGGTGGGGTGAATGTGGGGGGGTGAATGTGGGGGGGTGACTGTGGGGGGGGGGTGGGGTGAATGTGGGGGGGTGGGGTGAATATGGGGGGGGGTGAATGTGGGGGGGGTGAATGTGGGGGGGGGGGTGGAGTGAATGTGGGGGGGGTGAATGTGGGGGGGGTTCGGATGTGGGGGTGAATGTGGGGGGTGAATGTGGGAGGGGGGGTGAATGTGGGGGGGTGAATTTGG